TCCAAGGGAGCACGGCCTGGCTGACACCTTGATTTAGGACTTCTAGGCTCCCGAACAGTGACACGATCAGTTTCTATTGTTTTAACGCACCCAGATTTTTCACTTTGTTATGGCAGCCCAGCAGATGAATACACCATCATGTGTCACTTTTAAGACCAGGTTGTGAAAAGACTGTTGTTTCCATCTTGGATGTACTTTCTCTTTCAGATCATTTCTTTCTTAAGAGAGTCAGCTGCATGTTGTGAGGACACTGAGGCCGCCTATGGAGAGGAACTGAGGTCTATCAATAGTCACGTGTGTGAGCCTGGCAGGAGATCCCTCCAGTTCAGATAAAACTACAGCCCCAACCAGCAGCTTGACTGTGGCTTCACTTGAGACTCTAAGCCAGAACCACCCTGTGAAGCCACTTCTGAATTCCTGACTCACAAAGACTATGAGATAATTAATGTTTGTTATCTTAAGTGGCTAAATTTGGAGTTATTTGTTACACGGTAATAGATTACTAATATACCTGCTAACAGTGGAGGAAAAATGGTCCCTTGAGAAAAGGAGCAAACATGTGGAATGGCTGCTGAGATCATGGGAAAGGGAGGAGTGAACCAAACAATGCAGGTCGGTCAGTGGTTGCAAGTATAGTTGGGAACCACCTGATTAGGGTGCCAGTTAAACATTCAGATTCCTGAGCCTCCAATTCCTGAATCAGGCTCTGGGGACATGGCACTGGGAATCTGCATTTGGAATAGTGCCCTGATGATTCTTTTCAAGAATCACTGAGTTAGAGGCTAATTGAGAGAAGAGGTAAAAGTGAGACAGAAAGAGCAGCTAAAGCTAAAATTTAAACTGGGTGTTCATTCATAGCACAAATGGACATCAAATAACCATTATGCTACAGACCCATAAAGAGTTTCTAAGTATTGGTCAATACACTCTGAATTAGTAAGAATTACTTTCTATTCTGCCTAAAAATATTCTCAGGAGCTTTTATGCTAACCTTTGCTCCTTCTTTCTTAAGACACTGCCCTATTTCTCCTTCAGTTCAATCCCTACGCAGAGATGCTCTGCCTTTTTAAATTTCTACCTCACTCTAAACTTCTCTGGCCTTGGTGGTCAGGACTCTGTAAACTCAGTAGAAGTGCTTCCTGTCTCTGGGATTTCTGGGGCCACCCTAGTGCACAGAAAGGTATATCACATGAAGGTCATGCTATAGCTTTTATGATCAGGGCTTTGGCGGGAAAATCAGAAAGTTGGGTATTCTGGGTAGAACAGATCGTTAGATTCTCTAAGCCTCAGTTTCCTCATTTAAACAATGTTTTAACACCTACATGGAAGGGTTGGTGTGAGAACTGACTGACATAACCTTTGTAATGTCCTTAGCATTGTGCCTGGATTGTACCAGTGGCTCAGGAAATGGCAGGTGTCAACATTAAGAGGGATGGTAAGGAGGACGTATCCTTAAGTGCCCTGAATTTAATTTCATCCTGATGTTAGAATGGTTTGTGTCCCTGTCAGGGCTCCAGCCATAACCTGAGTGATGTATGAGTATTTGGAGCAGGGAAGGTGGATTTTATGGAGAACAAAAAAGAGAGTTCCTAGACCTAGCTCAGTATTAAAGACTATACCTGGCTGAGTATTAGAATCACTTGCCGCTCTCATTAACAAACTAGGACTCCTCCCTAGACCAATTAAATCAGAATTTCTGCCAGTTGGGACTCAGGCAGCAGAAAGCTGTAGACGCTTTCCAGGTGATTTCAGTGTACAGCTGGTGTTGAGAAAGACTGATCTAGGGACTCAGAGTCGTGGGTTCCTAGGTATTTTAATTACTGTGCGCTAAACTGAACAACAGCAACAAAATCAGGATGTAGCAATAAAAAGAAGTCAGATGGGTATGTACGGGTGAATGAGTCAAAACTGGGACATTTTAAAAAATCCATAAATTTCCAAGAAAGATTATTTAAGCATTCTTACTCCTACAAAAACTGTTAGAATTATTATGTAGAAGCGGGAAGCAATACCTACTGTTGGGAATTTTAGATGGGAATTTTTAAGCACTTGGTGATATTCAGGACATTTTCAGAAAAATAGAATTGTTCATCAGAATGAGCTTCCCTAGGTGTGTGGTTGTCATATGAAGATACAAATTTGAATACATAGTTTTGACCATAAATATATTAACAAAACATGGGAAACAGCCATTATTAAGCTTTATGAAATAAAAAACTCTCATGATAACATTTCTATATATGAGAATGATTCATATTTTGAAAACACAATTACACTTATAAAAAACAATAAAGGGAAATTATAAAAAATTAAATAGCTATCCCTCAAGGTTGGGAATAAGAATGGCCTTTTAAATTCTCATACCTATGTTTTAAAAAATAATGATGAAATTGGAACTGGAAAAAAAATTAAAAACTGGGGATAAAAACCGAGAAGGAAATATAGCAAAATATAAGCAGAGGTTGATCTGATGAGATCATGAGTATTCTCCTTTCAAGTTTTCTTCCTGTTGAACATTTTTGTGACAATGAGCATCTATTTCTTTTTATAATTGGAATAAAAGAAACTCTATTAAAAAATAAAGATCAAATCCTGTCTCCTTGTTCATGATTTTACTTTCGGACAAAGGGAGTTGGGTGAAGCATTCACAGAGCAGTTTAGAGTTTAGGAATCACTTAGCTCGGTTAGTATGCAAACATTTTCTGTAAAGGGCCAGATAGTAAATATTTCAGGTTTTCTGGTTCATATGATCTCTACTGCAAATATTCAGCCCTGCTCTTGTGGCAGGACAACGGATGTAGACAGTAAGTAAATGAACAAAAGTGACTGTATTCTGAAGAAACTTTATTAGCGGATACTGACCTTTGAATCTTACATAATTTTCATGTGTCATGAAATATGATTTGCCTTTTGATCCCTCGCTCCCATCATTAAAAATGTAAAATCATCCTCAGGCCATACAAAAACAAGTGGCAGGCTGAATTAGGCCCACAGGCTGTAATTTGCTGACCCCTGAGTTAGATAAAATTAGGGATGTGATAAGTGAAACATCCCACAGTTATGCTGGAAGTCCCCCACAGACATGGCTGGTAAACTCTGTGTTTATTTTAATCTGTGATTTCTCTGAATCTTTTTTCCTTTACTAAAGATTTTCTAGTCATTTGGCTGTCTCAGGAAAAGGATGCCAAGCCATTTTGTTGAAACTTTAATATAGTAACAGGAACACCTGAAAGAAATGCTAATACAAATCAGGGTCCACAAATATAGAGTCTTACCTGTGCTGGGCATTTCTGAGAACAAAAACATGAATAACACATATCTTTATTATAAGTCAGTGGTGAAGGAATTATTGGGGTGTACACAGAATATTGCAGGGTCACAGAGGAGGGAGAGAGTAATTCTGCTCATGGAAGATAAACCCTTGCGTTTACTGGAGAAGTTGGTAAGAAACAATCTGGAGACGTATTAGGCAATCGTTACAGAAAAAACAAACACTACAGAAGACAAGTGGCTCAAAATACAGTAGATTAAGTCCCTAGGCACTACTAATGAAAAATTACCTTTGTGGAAATCACATACTTTTTAACAGTAAATAAATCAAGAGACTATTTAAAAAAAAATTAATCCTGAAGAAAATCACACCACCTTGGGCTGAAAGCAGCAACTTAAAAAAAAATGCGTACAGCCCTATCATTCTTGTTTTTCACCCCAGAAAATATTTTCCAGATTACTTTCTCTTATTGCAGCATAGATAATGTTTAGTAAGTGAAATCACAAGATACTGCTTCCATATTCAACACAGAATGTAGAAAATAATTGGAAGTACAATTTTTTAAAATATACAGAAAGCAAACAAATGCAATTAAATAAGTACTGGTTTTGTACAATTTTTGCATTATAAAATATTTATCAGGCTAGCAGCTAAAGATGTGTTTTAATTTAACAAACACATATTTTCTTTTAAATCCATCCTTTATTGCCCACACCATAACTAACTCACAATTTTGCTGGGTAGTCACTGAGACTCTTTCTAAAATTAACATACAAATGTATGAATGGACAAGTTCATGCCATACAAGTTACCCAAGTTCTAATCCAGTGTTCCCAAGGGCCCTAGAGGTCAGAGTAAGGGCTGGTAGCTGCTCTTTCTTAAATACTTTATTCTCTGTGTAACTCCAGTTGCAAGCAGCAGTCCTAGATTCTGGGCATCTCCCTAAAATGGGGTTAAATTAAATGGGGTTACATTAAAGAAAAGTAACCTTCTCACCATCATTCTCTTTATGCCTTCAGAGGGCATATTCTGTTTCTGAAGAATAGTAGACTTTCATGTGTTACATTACAGAAACCTGAAAGGGGAGAGTTAACCAAATACCACTTGGACTTAAAAGTAACTTGAAACACCTTCTAGACTACATAGTCCTAGAAAAGTGGAAAAGCAGACATCTGCATTCTGGTCTCAATTCTAGATGGCCTTCTAGCCGCAGTTCCAATTTCAGTACTTCATGACCCCAAAACCTTCCATTTATAAACAGTACTGCTCTTTGTCTTCTTACTGTATAACTAAGCCATAGGTCCGTGGTGTGGTTAAAATATTTACTTGAGTATCAAGGAGCGCAACCGTAAACTGCAAGCAACAAGGGATCAGAGCCAGATACTTTTGCAAAGTGTGAGTTTCCTTTACCCGGTACTGTTCGAGGTCTTTAAAAAAAAAACTTCAGATTAAAAAGAGGTGTCATTTGTCTTAGGGTATTTTTATGGAAAAGATAATGATGAACCAAACTTCTTGACCTAGTAAAAGCGAAAGCCTTCCACCACGGCCCCGCCAGCGCCGACCACCTGACGGCCACGCCCACGCCAGTTCCCGCCCTCGGCCCCGCCCACCGCGAGTGCGGGTCGCTCGGGCTGTCACCGTAAAGAGGCTCCGCCCCGCGGACACTTCTGTCCCGGGACCCACGGGGCGGTAGAGGGGCGGCCCCGGAAGTGACGCGAGGGCGCGCCCTCCATTTTGTTGAACGCCAGAGCAGCTAAGTGCGTCAGTTGTGCAGAGACGTAGACGAGTTGAGTCCTGGTCTGTGGGGAGGCAGACGGCTCCGTCGCAGACTACGGACCTGTCTGGGTCTCAACTCCAAAGATCCTGTCCGGTAGGTGAGTGGCTCACTTTGAGGGAAAGGCTTCTCGGATCGAGGCTTCTTCATGGCCGCTCAGATGGCGAGTGGCCAGGGCTGCTCTCTGTGCGGAGGACGGCGTCCAATGAGCGCAGTTTACTCGAGGTGGGCGCTGGGGCACGTCTCCCTTTGGGTATTGTTTGAGGGGACCTGAAGGTGGAAGGGTGGTCGTGGTCGTTTTTACACAGCGGGGTCCTGTGCACCTCCCTGCCTTATTTCACTGTCCGAACCCCGCGAGTAGTGGGCCGAGACCTTTGCTCGGGGTGTGGTCGGGGCTGTCTGAGGGTGGGTCGGGGGACCCCGGAATGGTGGGGTCGGGGGCGGGGAGGGAACAGGGAGTTTGGCACGCGCGGCTCTCCCCGCGGCTGGCTCCGCGGCCGCCATTTTGTGGCTGCTCAGCGGCCGCCCGCCGCCGTCTGCGCAGGCGCGGCGGTGGCGTCGCGAGATTCCGGCTTCCACCCGCTGTGACGCTCCTGGGAGGCGGCGACGCGCGCGCGGCCCGTCGCCATTGGGCTGGCCTTGCGGAGGGCGGGGTCGGCTCCGCCCGCACTTCTCGGCCTTTCCTAACTGCGGCAGATGGGAGGGGGCCAGAAGAGCCGGGGAGAGTGTGCGGCTGCGCAGTTCCAGAGGCGGCAGTGGGCGTTGCGGTTGCTGCGGTCTGGGCCCAGGGAAGGATCGTGTTGGGAGCCGAGTTTTAATTTTGTCTGCAAGGGACCTGGCCTAATAAGAGGCACTCTTGGCAATCTGGTTTATAACATCACCGGGTAAACATTTTATTTTATGCCGTTTATGTTTTTGATCCCTTGCCTGGGTATTCCTGTGATATTCACTGGTATTATCTCAATTGAATTATTTTCTGACAGGAAGTACTAGCCGGACATTATGAGTGGCTGTCGAGTGTTCATCGGGAGGCTAAATCCAGCAGCCAGGGAGAAAGACGTGGAAAGATTCTTTAAGGGGTATGGACGAATAAGAGATATTGATCTGAAAAGAGGCTTTGGTTTTGTGGTAAGTATTTAGAACTGGGTGAATTTATCTGTTAAGTGGGTAAAGATGTGATAAGCAATGTTTTTGGTTTTATTGAGTCCAGGTAGAGTATCTTTAGGAAATGTTACGCATCCTTAAAGCAGTGAATTTTCTTAAGGGATAAAGGAACCTCACTGCTGGCTAGAGGGAAACCACTTCTGGTCGCCTGATTAGGCTTATCTATATGGCGTTGTCGTTAGGATCGTTCTTCCATTTTTTCGCTGATATTTAATGCTTTTTATATATTGTAGAAGGCACTTTTAAAGCCATGGTAAGCATTGTTTTTTTCATGTTTGTACTTTAGGAATTTGAGGATCCCAGGGATGCAGATGATGCTGTATATGAACTTGATGGAAAAGAACTTTGCAGTGAAAGGTGAGAATCGTAGTTTTGTAACTAGTTAGCACTGTAAAGTTAAGAGTAGACTGGGTCAGCTGGGATGTTTTTCTAAGTAGATCTCATACATAGTTTAAGTGGATAATGAAGATTTTTCTTCCTTTCCTTTAGGGTTACAATTGAACATGCTAGGGCTCGGTCTCGAGGTGGAAGAGGTAGAGGACGTTATTCTGACCGTTTTAGTAGTCGCAGACCTCGAAATGATAGACGGTATGTGATGGATGGTAGATGCTGCTTTGAACAAACATTACTGTAGGAGTCTTTAATGTTTAAGAAACGTTAGCAATAAGTAATTTTGCTGTTTACCGTATGATCAGTTTTGTTATTCCTATGTTCACTGTTCTAAGTGTATGTGTCATAAAATAATGCAGAAACGTTGATGGTTAAGTCTTCTGAATGACTTGTCATATCCGATTGCTTGAACTTGCCCACAGCTGAACACAATAAGTGCATGTTGCTGCATTTCTTCCATTGTGAGTGCTCATTTTCTTCCTCAGAAATGCTCCACCTGTAAGAACAGAAAATCGGCTTATAGTTGAGAATTTATCTTCAAGAGTCAGCTGGCAGGTTTGTTGAAATACAGTTTTGAGATATTTTAATGTGGCTTTTTAAAAATATTAATGGGTAGCTAATGTTTTATTAATGTTTTATTAAAAGTAGTTTTATCTTTAATTTAATTAATGGATTTAATTGTAATTTTAAAATTTTTAATTAAATATAATTGGGGGTTGTTTCAAACTTTAATATTAGTAATCAAATGTAAATGTTTTGAGGATATTTTTTCTTGTTTTTTAAAATCAATTTTAACCAAATATTAAACCCTTTATTTGCCAGCCTGTCTGTGTCGTTGGCCTTATGAGGAGGAGTGCCTCTGGGTTATCCTAATCGTTGTCTTGGTCACTCTTGGTTGGGCCTGGTTGACTTTGCCAGTCAGCTCCTACAGTGATCAATTGGCCACCTCTAGATCTGTGTTTGCCGGTCTAGACGTAATCGGTGCACTTAACTTGAAGTGCCAGGTTGCAGCGATCCCAGAGCGTTGATAACGTGATCTGATCCCTAAGTTGAGAGCTGTCTTCCTGTAACGCTTCCGAATAAGAGGTCCTGGTCGAAAAGAGTTGAAAGATACGAAATTAGGTGGTCGTTGGAATCCTGATCGCAGTAAAGTGGTCCTTGGTAACTGCACAAGAGTAGAACGTGTCTGCATCCGCCACTAGTCCGCTAATAGGGAGGGGCTGTGCGATAAAGGCTTCCATCGATTGGGTAGTGTCCTTCGAGTGGGTGGCGAAGAGCCAGTCGGGCATATGTCATGAAGGTTTCTCCGACCGATTATTGGTTTGCTGCTTGACTAGCCTAGGGAAATAATAATGAAGGTAAAGTAAACTTTTTTAATGACATATGGGGCACAAAATAACTGGTGTCTTGTAAATGTTCTGTTTTTAAATATTAAATATTTTCTTCTTTAGTCTTTACTTTAAAAATATGTACTGTTTCTTTGTTTTGTTTCTTGTTTTGTTTTGTTTTTTTTCCTTTTGTATTGAGCTCAGTATAAACTAATACTACTTTAATGTTAAAATCTGAATTTCTAGCATTTTGCTTAAAAGCAATATGCTATTTGCTTATTTCGTGCCCTTGCATATATTATTTTTGAATTCTGATAGAATACCAGTGTGGTAAATGCCATGTTTGTACTTTATCTAACATCTTCTCTTTCAGTAGTTTTGTTTTTATACCATGTGGTTGTTTGTGTGTCACATTGTTTTTTCTCTGCATAACACAATTATCTTGTGTTAAGGATCTCAAAGATTTCATGAGACAAGCTGGGGAAGTAACTTTTGCGGATGCACATCGACCTAAATTAAATGAAGGGTGAGTATATACTGAAGTATAAGAGCCTTTTAAAATATCCTAGAATTTGTACTTTTAGTGTTTTTGAGTGCTCAAAATTTGGACATACTTGAATGCAGCAGTTCTCAATCAGGGTTGAGTTTATTCCTGAGCACATGTGACAGTGTTTGGAGATTTGGTTGTCATAACTGATGCAGGTTGCTGTTGGCTTCTGGGTAGAAGTCAGGGATATGCTAAACATCCCACAATGCACAGGAAAGCTCCCCACCCCCAAAGAATTATTTAGCTTAAATATCAACAGTTTGGAGGTTGAGAAATCTTGCTCTCACACTGTGTTATCTGTTAAGAGAGAAGACTCAGTGTAACAATAGCAAAACAAACATTAAAAGTATTTAATACTAGACTGGTAATGTGGTTAGTGAGAGTACAAGAAGTAATTTTACAAATGGTGTGTTTTCTTTGCAGGGTAGTTGAGTTTGCCTCTTATGGTGACTTAAAGAATGCTATTGAAAAACTTTCTGGAAAAGAAATTAATGGGAGAAAAATTAAATTAATTGAAGGCAGCAAAAGGCACAGGTATCTCTTTAATATTTTTAAGTTTAAGGTTTAGTTTTTGAATTTGTAGGGCCTGCATTTATGTTGTGTTTTGTTTTGTTTTGTTTTTCACTTTCTAGTAGGTCACGAAGTAGGTCTCGTTCCCGGACCAGGAGTTCCTCGAGGTCTCGTAGCCGATCTCGTTCCCGGAGTCGCAAGTCTTACAGCAGGTCCAGGAGTCGGAGTCGTAGCCGGAGCAAGTCCCGTTCTGTTAGTAGGTCTCCTGTGCCTGAGAAGAGCCAGAAACGTGGTTCTTCAAGTAGATCTAAGTCTCCAGCATCTGTGGATCGCCAGAGGTCCAGGTCCAGGTCCAGGTCCAGGTCTCGGTCCCGGTCCCGGTCCCGATCAAGGTCCAGATCAGTTGACAGTGGCAATTAAACTGTAAATAACTTGCCCTGGGGGCCTTTTTTTTAAAAAACAAAAAACAAAAAACACATTTCCAAACCATACTTGCTAAAAATTCTGGTAAGTATGTGCTTTTCTGTGGGGGTGGGATTTGGAGGGTGTTTGGGTTGGGCTGGATATCTTTGTAGATGTGGACCACCAAGGGGTTGTTGAAAACTAATTGTATTAAATGTCTTTTGATAAGCCTTCTGCTCACATTTTTGTGAATGTCTGAAGTATATAGTTTGTGTATATTGACAGAGCTCTTTTATAACTAAAGCAAATTTAATTTTTTTGTACTAGAAAAAATTTGAACGTTTTAGTTCCTGGTTATTCAAATATGTTAATTCAAAATTAGTTTAATGCTTCAATTAAACTAATTAATAGCTTTGGACATTTAAAAGAGCTCTAAATTTGCTTGTATATAAAGGCTTAATTTGAGTTTTCCTTGTTAGGGTCAAGGGTGTCCACTCACCCTTTAACAGCTGCCTGACAAAGACGTTAAAGCAGCTGTTTGTTATTGATAATAAAAGATTATAAAATTGCTTTTGTCTGTTTGTCTGAAGGAAGTATGGCTACCGACTCCTCTCCCCATGCACATTTCATTTTAAATCCCTTGTAAAGAATGCAGTAATAGTGAAGTATAGGGTCGACTTTTTTTTTTTAAATTTTAACAGTACCTTGACATTTCCAGGCTAGTCATAAGATGGGCAATGAAGTGAGTGATTTAAGTTGTTTATGACGGTTTCCCTTGTGTGTGACTTTCCTGTCCTTTTATCACCTGATGTTATTGGCATCAGGTTAGTTAAGCTTTCATAGCCAAGAGAAGGACGATTTGGGAAACAAATTGTAAAAGTTAATGTTTCATGCCTATCTTAAAGGTTGTAATATAGTTTTGATGGTCAGAGGTCACCAAATGAAGCTTTTTTTCAATCACCACACCCAAATGTTTTTTCCTAGCCTGAGATGTGGATGGTGACAATCTATGTTAAAGGGAAAACAGTTAAGTAGTGAAAATTGTGTAAGGTTCTGTCTACATTTATCTTTATATTAAGTGTTGGAGCCCTGTACCTATAGGAAATGAGCTTTGTTTCTTCTCAGAATTTCAAAGACTCATTCGAGTGCTAGTCTAGATAAATAGTTAATAGTGTATAACACATGGTAGCCACTTAAAGTGCCTTGCCTATGTAGTCACTGAATCCTTGAAATTACTTCACTATTATATTTAGTATTTATACATGTGTAATTTAGGTCTTATTTTTACATGAAATTTTACAGGATAGTCAGGGCCAAAGAGAAGAGCAAGTAAATAGTAGATCGGTAGTAGAACACAGGAAGTCTAGTTCCAGAATCCCCAAACCACTCCAGACTGACATAGCCTAGCGTTTCAGGGATTTTTGAGGAAAGCAGAATCAGAAGCACTGGGAAGATTGCTTTTGGTTTCCGCAAAGTGTGGGAATTGAGTGGTGGGAAGTTCTATTTGCTGGGATGGGTTTGTAAGTTCTTGGCATGAAAGCTAACCCCTGTGTCCAAGACTAGAACTTAGGCCATAAAATTGTGCAGCTGATCTTTTCAACACAAGGATGAGTATAGGGAGAGTTTGTGTGGTATACTTGTTAATTCACTTGGATTCAGGGCACTCAGCCTATTTAAATGAAAACCTAGGTTTTTTTTTATAGTGTATCTAAAGGCTGTACAGGATAGCCATGAGCTGCTATCGGAGAGGCAATTTTGTCCACCTTTGGGCTTTTTACATACAGTAACTTGGGGTGGTTTGATGTTTTA